ATTTGTTGTAGACATCTTAAAACACAATCAGATGTAAAATTTCCACAATAGTACATCCGTTAAACATCAATAAAATATGAAAGGATGGTCATGTATTCATCAGGAGCTCCTGGCATCTATTTTGATTTTGATGGTGATGACTCGGTGTGGCTTTAAAATTGTGAGAAAAAACCATCTTCACGTAGAGTGTAGTGGAGTGGAGTAGAGATTGAGGGAGGGTAACATGTTCACGTATGATAAATTTAGTTTTTGTGTTTTATATTTTTACTCCCTCATCCACACAGCGCTACAGTTTTTTTAACTCTACTGAAAATAACCCAGTTATTCATTCATCTGTTAGAAAAGGACCATGCTTAGGATACGAGTAGTTCCTCTGATTTTTCACGGTGATTGTAGAGTGAGCGAGAGCACGAACGAAAGTCTCGTCTTTTGCTCGCTCTATTATTCCTGGAGGGACTAATCGCAGTCTACATCAGGCTAGGCTCACACTTGTTGCTAAAGATAGCAAATAAGATAAGATACGCCTGCCCCCTGCCTGCGTAGCAAGGGTTTCCGCGCGAGTTTTGTGCAAAATTAAAGGGACACAGTCAGCTGATGCACATGCTCATTAGATACCATATCTTAGCTGATTTGCATGTCTCAGACATGTCACAAAACGCGCGTGAAACAAAAGCGTTTCCGGAATACTCTGTAGAGTTGAACTATTGTAGTTACAAGCTAAAAATCGTGATTATAGGCCCTAAGCCATATCAGAGCACTCATTTTTTTTTATATACTATTGAGAATTCACCGATGGATTTTTCCAGGGAAAGCCAAACATCGACGAATACTTCCGAATTCGAACATTAGTAGAGGTGAGAAATTGCACGGTTCACGGTCGAGAAAGCTTGATTTTCCAAATATATGAAACCTTTTCCATCGTTTTTCCAAATATACATAGCAATTATCTGGGCGCCAATGTCACTGATTCATTTCTCTTGTTATTTTGGTAAACGAAGGCGATTTCTCCCACCCGGCGCCTACGCGTTTCTCACCTCTTCTGTTTCATGTTCCTTTGAATACTGTTCAGCTGACTGTTTTTAACCAAATATGATAAAATAATGTAATAGGATGAGTAAAAGTTTTCTCAAAAAGAGATGTTCAGTAAAAGATCGAGGATCGAATAAAATACTAGGCCAGATTGAAGCGGATTTCTAGATGTATCCAACGCGTAGATTTAATTTCGGGTTGAGGTAAACGCTTTTCAAACTGGCAAAAGTAGTGTCCAGGTCAGCGCGGTCACATAGCTGACTGTGTCCCTTTAAGCTGGGAAAGAGCAAAAAAGAGGAACGAAACGGACAGTTACAATTAAAACTGATATATAGACTTGTGTCCTTCTTCGTAAAGTTTGATGACATATACGTATGTTTCATAAACGCTCAAGCTTTAAAAAAAAACTAAAACAACAACAAAAAAACAGAACAAAAAAACCATCCAACAAACAAACAAACCAAAAAACCCCGCGCTTTGTTGTGTGTCATTAGACATGATTGCGTGACAGACTCGTTACTCGTGAGTGTCCCCAGTAGCTCAGTTTTTCCAAATGCAGGTTTTAGCTCTGATTTGAAATTCAAAATTTGAGTTTTCAGATTAAATGCAAAATGGTAAGCGGTACACCTAGGGTGGCTGTTATATAACAGCGACGGGGATGGTGGCCGAAATTTAGAGTTAACCCCCTAAAAGAAACTAATCTAGGCGTGGCCTTCTTGTGCCCCCCCCCCCAAATGGGGAAAACACTGCAAAAGTATGACGCGGTTTTTTAAAGGTGGCACTGTTCTTTACGCTCAATCCCAAGCAAGGATAACAAACTCCTCCTCTCTTGCCTCATTGATACCCTAAGTGAGACCAAAATCTCCTCTCCTAAAAGTGAAGACGAACATCCCTTTCTTCCCTTTGGAGCGAAATTTGGTATTGGACGGAGTTGGGATTCGCAATCGGCAGTAACCAGACGGGTTGAGAGCTTTGGGCAGTCTCAAAACTTTTATGGCGCGGCTAAAAACTCATCATTTTAAATTAGCTTTTAGCTTATCATAACCTATAGTATTTCAAAATAAATTTTCGGCATGCATATATATATATGATATTTTTATCTAGTATGAGCCTGTTCCAGGCGTTCAGATAGTAATCTGTTCCCAGTGGACGCTCGCCCAACAAAGGCCTGGGAACTCAAGAGATAAGTTACGGGACATGCGAGTCCGCAGGCGAGGAGGCGAAAGGGCTAGACCCAGATAAGAGTAAAATTAGGGGGGGAGGGAGGGGAAACAGATGACCCTACCAGTGGAACCCCCCCCTCCCCCAGAAGGGGATACCGCAGGAATCCTCTCAACTGGCGCTTGCATCTAAACTGGACAAAATCCCTTACACACGAGTTTATTAAATACAGAAATTGACTCCCGAGGGAGATTACTAAACACACGCCTGTAAATACAACTCTAGCGAGTAATTGGACAGAAAATAAGGCCCGTGTTGCACGAGCGAGCACTGGGAATAGTAATCTATTCCCAGTGGACGCTCGCCCAACAAAGGCCTGGGAACTCAAGAGATAAGTTACGGGACATGCGAGTCCTTGGCTCGGAGGCGCGGACAGCCCTAGATGAAGTGAAAGGCGACAACCAGCCTCCCCAACCCCATGCACCCGTAACTCACACTCCCAAATCCCAAAAATAAAATGAAAATACAATGAAGACAAGAAAAAATTTATAAAAAGGCCGGCGTAAAACCAGCAAGACAGTTAAGTTTACGGAAAGTGTTCCCGAGAAGTTCTGCCGAAGAGCCACGTCCAAAGTCAACCGTACTACAAGCCAAGGTATTGGAAGAGGTATCGGCAGACATAACCTTGTCCACTTGAGTATAGTAGTCAACCAATGCAGTAGACTTCCAGCCAATGTGCTTAGCAACATCCTCTCTAGACACTCCGAGAAGTCTAAGAAGGATGGAGGTTCCAGATCTAAAACCGTGCACAGTTTCACCATCATTGATGCCGAGAGATGAAAGGTACTTGACAAGTCTGGCTTGAACAGTAGAGGCGAGAAGTGGAGCATTAACGACACCACCTTTTTTGGAAGTTGGACGAAAAAGAAAACCAGCGGAAAGGTCAAGCCGCATTGAATTACAGAGTTCGACGAAGAACTGGAGATTTCGCAAGGGGCAAATAGCTGGATTAGCAGTTTGTTTAACAGCGAACGCTCTCGAAGTCCTCCCTCTCAGAGTTTTGCCTACACGTTGGTGGAAAAGGAGGCTGGAGCCGTCAGGATGTTTTAACACGTCAACCGTCTTAATTCTACCAAGATCAGATGCCCTGTCGCCAGAGAAGAAATCGAGCGAGAAAAAGGCAAGATCCCGAGCATAAATGTAACGTTCCGAAGGTGAAATGTTGTTACCTAACAGAAGTTGCCTTAGGTGGTACACGAGCTTCTTGTACTTGTCAAAGAAGACGGGGGTGGCTTGCTTCGGAGATACCCTGGCCTGTGACTGCTCCGATCGAATAGATTTAAGATACTGCTTGACGCATAAGTTCGAGGCAGGATTTCCAGAACCAAAGCGATCATCCCAGTCACTGGTACGGCCCAACGCATTGAAAATAGATCGCAGTTTTCCGATAAGGGAGTCCACTGTGCCAGCAGATAACCGAGTGGGACAGTTACAGGTCTGTTTGCCGTGTAACACGGGACGAAAAATTGGATTTACGACACTTTTGACGCGCGTCAAAAGTTAAATCAAATATGGTATTGGCTTTGACTTCACCTTTGACGCGCGTCAAAGATGTCGCCAAATATATAACCTCTGTGCTTACTCCTTTGACCTCGGTAAAGGTGAAGTCAAATTGGTAACAACTTTGACTTCTCCTTTGACGTGCGTCAAAGATCAAGTCAAATGCATCAATGCTTTGCTATTCCTTTAACCCTTATCAAAGGCGTTGTCAAATATGCTGGTAACTTTGACTTTACCTTTGACGCACGTCAAAGATAAAGTCAAAAGAGTAGTGGCTGTGACCACACCTTTGATACTAGTCAAAAATGAAGTCAAATACGACCGCTACACTTTTACAACACTTTTGAATGGTGTCAAGGGTGAGAGCAAATATGCAATGAATTACTTCTACAAACACTTATGTCGAAACTGATTTTAAGAAAGGAAATTAAAAAGCTGTATTTGAATACTGTTTTAAAGATATTTATACGACAATACCGAACACAGGCTGGTAATCATTGTAATTGGTGTTTATAATTATTTTTGAAAATGTTCTGGAATATGTACTTTTTCGAGGTGAATTAAGTGAGTTTTGTTTTTGTCTTATCTTGAGTGGATCATTTTCCCCTTGATCGATTAATATACGATGAATAAATGATAGCGACGCAAAACAATGACTCAACAACTGGACGATGGAAGACTGAACCCAAGCAAGACACCCTGTTTTTGGCGCGAAATTGTCGCGGCTGCAAACTCTCTCCGCCCGCGCAAACAAACAAACTACGCAGATCTGAAGAAAACAAAAGCTGCTTTTTTGTACGAAGCAGTCCAGCTTTTTTTTAACAAATATTTTCGCCCTTATCTCTGATAGAGTTTAGACTACAAACTTGTTCAAAAGGTACGTGTCATTCTTTTCTATGTGTGCATGCAATAGTTCTTCTTCAAACTTCATAGTTGTTTTACTATGTTAAGCTTACAGAAACCAACTCCGAACAGGCGTGTATATCGTGCTTGGGAGCTTTTCTGATCGTTAAATCTGGTTCAGTAAACTATAAAAATCTTTCTGTATCACAGTAGAGTTTACATTAGATCAAGCCCTTTTTCTTAATAGGGTTAATGCATTTCTGTAAAAGTAATGCCTGGCTTATATTTCACAATGCAATTCAACTCAAAACTTCATGCGAGAACCTACTAACATCAAGATTAACCAACTCTGGTTTTTCTAACAGTTTATATTTATCTGCGAGAACTACTCAGGTAATGAAATAATATAAGACTTACATATATCTTTTTTCATTGACAGTGTACTTCAATAAAAATGTCTGTACCAGACTTTGATGGGCATATTACTGAAGCAAGTACATAAGCTTATTTGAACAGGATTCAGTGCAGTTTATCAAACAAAGAGGTGTGATTATTTGAAGACTTCGGATGTTTTGCGAACGTGAGTATCTCTTTCTATTGATTTTTCTGGGTTCTATACGTAATGGGGCTCATACTGCATAATTAATTTTTAAAATATTCCATTGATTTTTTTACCACTACAGTGGCAGCTGGGTATGTTTCAACATTTAATAACAATCATTCAAACATACCGAGCTGTCCCTTCATTATTGTTACTGGACAATAACTTTGGGGGTTAAAAAGGTAGAAAAATAGCCGCGTAGCAAGCTTTTCCGCGCGAGTTTTGTGCAAGAGGGCAAAAAAAGAGGAAGGAGGGGCCGGGAGGGGCTAACTCGCGCAATAACTCGATTGGAAACGCTTGTTATGCAGGCTAGGTATAATATAAAGTGTTTCTTTAGTTTAATTTTAAGCTTTGGGCATAGAGGGAAATTTTGATTGAATTTTCCTGGACTTTATTATGTGATAATAAGGCTCGATTCAAACGTCAAATTTCACAGGTGACGAACTTAATGACAATACATGTACACGAAATGTAATGTTTCCATTCAAAAGCATTAGGTTCGCTACACATTTTTAACAGGGTCTTTAAGTTTTGATAAAGGTAAAGAGAAAGGGGGATTTTCTGAAGAAAAGGAGCGATAGTAAAAAGGGAGTGGGGCCAAAAAATTTATTTAAAACACTATGACTGAGCTTTTTATCTCAAATTTCTATATTTTTTTTACAATTATTTCACAGATAAAAGAAGCAAGGCAAAGTGATAAGTCTCCAGTGGGAAAAAAAAGCACACAACAGAGGAAGATTGAAGTTAGATACATGGCGTTTGTCTTTCACTTACATCAAGAGTCAAAAGCACTCTAGAATGAAAATCTTCGCAAAGATAACATCAAGACAGATAGGCTCCTGATCAAGAACATTTCTTACTTACCATGATTTTAGCACTGGCTTTCGTGAAAGAGTGTTTTAAACTATTTTGCAGGTTGCCGTCCGTGACAACAGCGTGAATCTGGAACATTTATAGTGCTTCAAAAATTTGCGGCAGTCATTATGATTGTCCATTGACAAACTGCATTGAGTACTTTAGACAATAAATCGTGAAAATGTTTTAAAAAACCATTTTTATGCGTTTAAAAAAGTTTTAATCGGAATTATTCAGCTTTCTAATCATCTAGTGAGGTTTTAGGACAATAAAGTACAAGATTAAGAACTCAATCTCTTATCTGTCCACCTTTTTAAACGGTATCCAGTTCGCAATTGAATTTGACTGAAAATCTCAAGTTGGATTCTAGCCTGTATATCAAGCGCTTATGACTAGCGAGGCAATAACGCGGCATTCGCGCGAAACGCGAGGAGAACGAGGAATTCACGCGAAGCGCGAGACGAGCGAGAGGCGCGATGCGAGGGGAGGAAAAAAAACAAACATATTTGGCAACACCTTTGTTAAACCTTTGACTTAAATCTCACACGCATTTGACGACAACTTTGTCACACATTTGACCTGAGGCTCAGACACTTTTGACGACACTTTTCACAAGCCTTTGACTTTAATCACAGACATAACTTTGCCGCGCTTTTGTCACACCTTTGGCCTGAATCTCAGACATATTTGACGACGCCTTTGATAGGGGTACAAATGCTAATGAAATATACCTTTGACGCGCGTCAAAGGTAGGGGTTAAAGGCGTGACAAAAACGGCCTTTATCGCCTGAAGACGCGCCTTTGACCGCGGGCAAATGTAAACATTTGTCGCGCGTCAAAGTTGTACAAAGGTGTGCAAAGGTGGCCTTTATCGCGCGTTTGACTTCACCTTTGACGTTCGGTAAATCCGTTTTTTCGTCCCGTGTAAACCGAAGAACTGACACGAGTCTTTGTGCACCATCGTTTTGCCCTTCCCATCTTTCCAGACCAAAAATCTGACAATGTCCGTCGGTGTGGCGGAAAATAGGCTCTTGCGTGGTTGCAAAGATGCCAGGAAACGCGAAAATTCCGCCTCCAACTGTGATTTCTGGCGTTGGTAGGCTGTAGAGGCTCTGACGGAGTCGAGATCTTTAATTCTGGCTTCTAACTGTTCTAAGTCAATCTTAAACTTCTTGGAGGAGGGACCCAAAGCATTAGAACCATATCTTTGGAGCCCACATCTCTGACAGAACTGGAAACAGTCATCATTTGGATACGAGCATTCGTTACACTGTACAGCTGGGCGCCAAACACGGGGGACCGAAAACAAACTCTAAACAGAAATACAGGGATTAGGACATACCCTAAACGCCCAAAGGTCCCAAGGTAAAGGCTTGGTAAGGAATGAGCCATTGGGAGTAGGAAACAAAAGTACGTCAAGGTCGCCCAAAGCACCAAGGCGGACCGAATCTGTAGATCGGCCTGAAATAATAGGCCACCAGTAACGACGGGGATGAGGATCAGGAGTAACTAAGGTAAAAGGACAAGGCTGGGAGGATAAAAAGCGCAGGACTATCCCAACCAAAGCCAAAGGAGGGAAAACATACGCGTTGTCCGAGGGCTGGAGGGTTTGAGTGAAAATATTGACTCCAGCAGACTCCACACTAGGCCAGGGGGTGAAATGTCTCAAACGGACGCCATGAGAGTCACGGGGAGCATTAGAATCTAAAGCCATTAGATCGATGGAATGAGGGCCCCAACACCGCTCGACTTCTCTCCAAAGACGAGGAGACAGCATGCAATCACTGTTCGAGAGGGCCCTGGAGGGGGTGTCTGCTGGATTATCCCTCGAGGGGACATATACTAAGGACAGGGCGATATTAAACCTCAAAGTGGTTTCATAGATGGCTTGGATGACGTCGGAAAGAGCTTTGCTCTTACCACCCTGATTGGACCATGCACGAACTAAGGGAAGACTGTCCACGTGAGCGTCAACTCGGGAGGCCGCAAGAGATCCCGCGCCAGCCAGAATGGCATTCTTGAGGGCCAGGGCCTCCCTGTTGACAATCGGCTGGGAGCGATCGTAGGGTGTCCAGTAGTCGCGTACTTCAATGGAATTGCCAGATTCATCGGGAAAGACACCACCCCAGCCAGAGTTGGATGCATCAGAATACATAGTCATGACAACATGCCTCTCTTCGAACCAGGGGAGACAACCTTGCCAGTTGTCCAGAAATCTCCAGCAAAGGATTTGACTTCGCAAATCGCCCGAGACTTTAATGGACTTATGAGGGGACTTGATGCAGGATGAGATAGCACGGAACGAGGCGCGAGTATAAAGTCGAGCCGCTGGTACCGCGATAGAAAACGAGGTGGTTTTGCCCGCAAAACGTTGCAGAGTTTTAAGATCCACGGTATCTTGGGACAGAATAGATTCTCTTAAGGTCTTAAACTTGAGCTTCTTGTCTTCTGGAAGGACGAACGCTAACAAAAGAGAGTCACAAAGGTAACCCAAAAAACGCACGCGCTGGGAAGGGACGAGGGACGACTTCGACAAAGCAAGGGTATACCCCAGCGAAGTAAGAACTGAAACAACAATAAAAGCCGCCGCCTCAGCTAATTCAAAGTCGGACCAAACTGGAAGATTGGGGTCCCTGCGAACCATAAGCTGTCCTGCATGGCGATCATCGATGTACTGGGAACAGGGAACGCCCAAAGTTCTTATATAACTTGTTGCCAATAAACCAGTTGTGTGATACACATACGCACTCGCCTTCCACCCGAAGGGAAGGGTATTGTACACGAAATAACAGGCCTTCCACTTAAGTCCAAATAGGGTCCTGCTGGAGGGGGAAAGACAAATATGGTCATAGCCACTTTTGTCATCACATACAATCTGATAATGACCAGAACCAACGTATCTTGGAAGATCAGAAAGGTAATCTAGGGAAAAGGGGCAATCTTTGATCCACAAATTTAGGAACCGTTCATCGTGACACATTCTTGGCTTCGAAGGCTCAACAGTTATAGGCATAACAAGATGAGGAGCTTCAGCTTGTCCTACCCTGCCCCAAAATACAAGAGAGCCGTTTTTAACGCGATCTATTATAGTAGAGGAAATAAATTCCTCAAACTGAGCACAAATAGGGCTATTAGGAAATTCCATCTTAGGGGGAGATGGTGAATTGAAAAATTTTCCCGCGAACTTGCCTTTAAAGGGAACAACGAAGGACGCAACATTCACTTTATCTCGGACAAAACACATTGGCTCCCTTTGAGGAGGAAAATGTTCAGCAATGAACTCCCATTGAGCTAAGTTGTTATGAAGCTGACCAGGAACAAAAAAAGACGGGTCTCTGAAAGTGAGCATGCGTGGGCTAGCTTGAACGCGTAAGGCAGCCACCTGTTGAGGCGAGGGGACTGGGCCGACAAAACTGGTGGGCTTGCCCTCCCAGTTACACCACTTCTGCGTGACACTAGGCGGTGGTTCACAAGAAATAGACGCAAAGAACTCAGGATCGAACGAGACACAAGGAAGCGATTCCTGAAACAAAACAACGGAAACCTAAGAGGGAGAGCGAGGGAAGCCCACCAGAATTGCCGGCCTTAAGCAACCTCAAAGAGGCATAAAAGGCATTAGACACCCGCACCCAAGGCACGACAATACTGGTACGCAAGGGAAGAGTAACAACTAAGAGAAAATAAATGAAAGCAAAAGTAATTCCCACACAACTTTAATGACAATTTCTTAAGATAAAAAAGAAGTACACTGCCTTTGGAAATGCCCGCGTTGACCACAGTTAAAACAGACTCCACGCCCCCTACGAGAGCCGCGAGGCGGAACACCTCGAACATAAGAGGACGAGCGTTGCGGCGTATTCCATCTTGCATAGGGATGGAAACCACTGGAGCCCCGTTGTCTGGACATCTTGGCGATAGAATTGGCAACCTCGCTCTCCTCTTTACTGCCAACGAGACGAATAATGATATCACCAAACTCCACGGAAGAGGAGAGGGGTCTGGTCTGGCGAAGAATTGCTTCATATCGCGGGGCCGACGGGTCACCAGAAACCCGCGCCTCATCAGCAAGCTTCTGAAGGGCTGCCAGAATGGCATAAGGATCTCTTAAGTGACGAGGAGCAGACGCAAGTTGCCGAACCAGTTGGAGGGTAATCGTTACATCTGCACCCTTGCCTGAGCCTTCCTTAAGGGTGTTCAACTGTTCTCTCAGTTCTCGCACTTGCTGGGCCAACTTAAAATAGCAAACAGAGAGAAAAAAAAGGAAAGGTCTAATTAACAGGTGGCAACGAAAATAACCCATGAGGCGAGGGAAAATAAACAAGTCCCACTGGCTGCCGACACCGAAAACAATAACACTGAGGAGGAACGGCGGAACATAATATTATCTCGATCGCGGTTCTTAGAGGATGAAACAAGAAATAAAAATAAAAATAGCGACAAAAGACACAAAGAGAAGCCAAAAAGTACTGTCTGCAGTTATGCATATATATGTCCATACATAACCGGAGACAGGCGTAAACAAAATAGATTTCTTCCTAGTTAGGGCATCATCAATTCAACACAAACGACGAGTGGGAATTGCAACTTTTTCCCACCTATTTTCCGACCAGACACATCGGCCTTCCAAACAAAACAAAACAAACAAACAAAAAAAAAACAAAATGTTCTCAGCCCACCGAGAAAAAAGCACGGAATTTTCTCAGCCTCCACCGAGAAAAAAGCACGGAATTTTCTCAGCCTCCACCGAGAAAAAAGCACGGAATTTTCTCAGCCTCCACCGAGAAATAAGCACGGAATTTTCTCAGCCTCATCAAGAAAAAAGCGCAAACAATGAAAAGCTAAGTCCCCCGAGACAACCGGACTGCGCTTTAGGCCACAGCCTAAATAAACACGGCAAGAAAGCAAAAACGACAAAAAATAAAATGAATAAAAAGGAAGGGAATGCCGGAGAGAAATAAATCGCCTAGAGTAGAATCGGAACACTAGATAAACTCGGCCACGACCGAGAATGAAACGCGAAAAGTAGAAAACGAGCACAAAGAAATTTACACAACTTACTTTGGGTACAACCAAAACACTCAAAACAGGCAAAGATATAGCGCAAAAAATAAAAATAAAAATAAAAATAAAAATTAAAGCGAGAGAGAACATTGAGCGGTAAAAACTCATTCCCGGCCACTACCGAGCGAAAGGGAAAAAGGATGTGGGCTAACTGAGAACCAACTTGCCAAAGAAACGAGTTTAGTCAAGGAAACAAAAATTTAACGGCCCCAACCGTCAATAAACACGTGGAGAGAGCATGCTCTGACGCCAGCCACGACCGACGAGAAAACCGACAAGAAAAAGCCAACTAGGTAAAACCAGAGACGCGAGAAACCTGATTTAAGCTACTTCTAGGGGTAAACGAAGAATTGAACTGACGAACAATTACCTCTTGCGGAGCAGCGTCAACCGCATTCGCAGGATTCTCGACCGCTGGAGCCGCGGCAGGAACAACAACAGGGGCGGCGGCTGGTGGAGCTACGGGCAGTTCTTCGGGTACCGGAACATCAGGAGGTAAAACCACAACGGGATGTGGAAGTTGTTCTTCGGCCATTAAGACGTGACGCAGGAAAGATCCTCTCAGCTGGCGCTTGCATCTAAACTGGACAAAATCCCTTACACACGAGTTTATTAAATACAGAAATTGACTCCCGAGGGAGATTACTAAACACACGCCTGTAAATACAACTCTAGCGAGTAATTGGACAGAAAATAAGGCCCGTGTTGCACGAGCGAGCACTGGGAATAGTAGAGCGCGGCGGGGCGGTCAGTGGGGAGCGAGTTTATAAATTGTACATCGGGAAAACGGGAGGAGGAGGGGGGGGACGAGGGGGGTTAATCGCTTTCCCCCTCTAGTCTCCCCTCGTTTTCTTTTGTTCGTGAACAGTTTCCCCGCGCTCTAGAGTATCTGAACGCCGGGAACAGGCTAATCTAGTATCCATTTATTAACTATTTAGAAGAGCTGTAAATTTTTTTTATCCATTTCATTGTAATATTATAAGCATTGTAATGTAAAGCGCATTTGATCATATAGCCATGTATTTTGCGCTATATAAATAATGAAGTCATGTTATGGCATGTTTTAACCTGCGATCGGACGTTCTTTTTTTCGGGAAGGGCAAAATTTGATGGATACACAAAGGGAAAAATCTTGCCTGATCGTAGATTACGATCAGCATATTTTAGCCGATGTGGAATTCGTAGCCTCTTCCAGGCGTTCAGATATGATAGCACAGTGAAAGAGCGGAAAAGCTGTTTTTCCTGCTCAGTCTGCTCAAATGCTCAAAAGTGTGAACATTTACGTAAAAATTGGGTTTGAAGGTAAACTGGAAATCCTGTGCCCATCACCTAAAATTTTCTATTTTCTCATCTGAAACTATACCTTATTAAAATAACTTCTGCGAAAAAATTTTGGGATTCGAACAAAAGCCGATTTTTTTACAATTTTTTGAAGTCTACATTTTTGCGGTACACTCGCGCCGCTGATCATGCAAACTAGCAAGCTCACATATGACGTCATGTGACGTTAATTAAGGAACTCGCATTACTTTGCCTTCACCAGCTGTACACAAAAAAGATCAATTTCAAGTAAGAATTGAATCACAATGTCTTCGTAAGAAGAAAGTTTTTCTGAAAAAGAAAAACCTATCAGAACTCTTAATGTTTTCCTGTCGATAAGGTCACGTGTTCCTTAAAGTACGTCATACTCCGAGAGAAGACTAAGACGAATGGTGTGTAAAATGGCGGCAAATTTGAACGTTTTGAAAAAATTGTAAAAAAAAATCGGGTTTTGTTCAAATCGCAAAATTTTTTCGCAGAAGTTATTTTAATAAGGTATAGTTTCAGATAAGGAAATAAAAAATTTTAGGTGATGGGCATGGAATTCGCTTACCAGTTAATAATGTGTGTATTTGCCGACACATATACTGTACTAGATACGTTTTTGTTATAACATGAAAATCATTTTGTTTTGTGATTTTAATTTTCTCCATGTGTATTAAAGTTTGCGAGGATTTGTATTCGCGGGGTATTAGTTTTGTGACTTTTGCAATCACGCGCGAAATTAAGACCCGCGAAATTTCATTAAGTATCAGTTAAGTTCTTTGTTTTTCTCGTTTACTTCTGGCCTTTAACCTTCTGGCAGACTTTTTGTTTCTTTGCTTTTTTTTAGTAAAAACAAAGAAAACAACGGTTTTCTGACTGTTCATTTTGGTCCTTTTGAACGTTTTCTTGTTTTAGGTTTTTCCTCGTTACCGTTAGAACGCTCCGTAGTAGGGTACGTCATCGTGGGGATTTTTCCCGGAAGTGAGAAACTGCTGTCACGCAACTTCGTGTTTGTACCAAATTCAAAATGGCGGTCACCTAAAAGGTGTTCCTTTTTTGTCTCGTTACCCGCAACTAAGATCTTGATAGACGAGAAATAAGAAAATGGAAGTCGGCTCACGTGTAGTCCGTGGTCCGGACTGGATGTGGGGAGACCAGGATGGAGGAGAAGGAAATGTTGGAACCGTGGTACAACATGGTCAAGATAGAAACCTTCCCGATGGAACTGTTTTAGTTGTTTGGGATTCTGGAAGACAGGCTAATTACCGCGCTGGACATTCGGAAAAGTTTGATCTTCGGATTTTGGACTGTGCTCAAGCAGGCAAGTAAATTATTCACTTTCGATTTGGTCACAAATTTTTCCCTTTAGAACAAGAGTGTTCCAATCTGTTTCAGGCCACTTTCAATTTTGACCTACGAAGACGAGTAAATATGTTTACGTTGTTACACCACTCTTTTATCACTGAATCTTTCACCCGAATTTGTCGGTGCCAATTTGGATTTCTCTATTTCTTCCCAACAACGTAACGATAAAAAACCTAAATTACGTCTGCAAAACTCAAAGATTT